ATGAGATAGAAATGCCGCACTACTTAATTTGCGGCTGTAGCCCACTCATATATATACGATATATCTCTTCTGGAAAATAATCCGAGGAGATAAAAACATCGCTTCAGATAATGTCTTAAAATTCCTATCATTGATAAGAATTAGCAGCGATCTTTAAAAAAGGGTAAGCACAAAAGATCATGGAAAGGTCTCAGTTTCTTGAGGTCACAGATTCTTTTCTGCGTGAAAAAGCTCATCTTTCAATAATAATAATAACCCTAAAACTACAAACTTATTAAATATATATAAATATAAAACTACAAATTTATTCGTAAAAATGCGCTGTAAGCAGTAGTCTGACCCGTAAGGACATGATTTTTTTTTTGTTTTTTCATTCCAAAAAGAATGGTGAAGAGTAAATTTAATTTTTCCAAGGTTTAGTTGGTGAAAAATCGATTTTAATAACTAACAGTGCTTAAAAACAGCCAAACAGTAATTTAACAAACAAAAGATTATAACTACTTTTCTAAATAACCAATTTTGAGATTTCTAGTGAGATTTCAAAGAAGACACATAAGGCTATGAGAGAATAAGTACTATCATGTTTTGTCAAAAAAAGTCTATTTATTTGGGACTCTGAAAATCGAAACTAACTTAAAAACGTCGTTCAAAGTCTGCCTGGGGTAGATATCTACCTCGGTTAGTAGTTCTAATCTTAATTCTTAAAGCAAACTCGTGTAAACCGTTGTTGCTGCCTTGACACGTCGGGAATACAAAACATTGAATGAATGATGGTTAGTTACTATAGAAAATGTATACCAACTAATTCAATGTCGATTGCTATTGATTGATAATGGAATATGCCACGTTTGGTGCATCCGTCTAATATTGACAATTTGTCTAATAAATGTGACTGGTTAACGCGATGATTTGAATTATTATTTTTTTATTATTGTATCAGCCCACTGCTGGATATAGACCTCCCCATAAAGGGGATTTGCCAGTAGTTGCCACGCTTAGCAGACGGGTTGACAATCGCGGTTAGGCTTTGGTGATGTTTTAAAGAGGACGCTGCTGCCCATCCCGCGACCATAGTGACACCCATGGTAAAAGAAGAGGTGGCCCATTCTATGTCAGGACCACACGGCACTTTGTCCGGCACAGCACTACACGGATTCTTTGCACATTCGGAAACAAATAAATAAATATACCATCTGATACTTTAAACAGCCCCAAAGTAAGCATCAATGTCTTGAGAACTATCTCAATTCCAATATGATTCCAATGCAAATTCAATGGCGCTAAAATATATTTTTTAAATACTTATATATGTCCACGGAGCATCGAAGGCCAAAAATAGGTTACATACGTTTTTTAAAATAAAATATTTCGCGCCATTTTTTCAATATTGCAAGTAATGCGATGAATAATTCGTAAGATCAGGTGGACATTTGAATTACGAACAGTTTTTTTTTTCTTTGGTGTTGTGGGTGATCATGGGCGGCGGTAGTCACTTATCATCAGGTGAGCCGGATGCTCGTTTACCCCCCTGTGTTGTTAAAAAAAGTATCTACTCGTATATCTATGCCTATAAAAAAGTATGTCAAGAATCTTAATTAATTAATTAAAATAATTAAAACCGGCATCGGAATCGACTTTATTATAATAATTTCGTAATATTATACAAATTGACAAACTTCCTTATTACGAGATTGTGAAAGTAACGGTTCGAAGATCACGCCGCGGATTGAAAGGTTAGCGTAAACGGAGTCACACACTGCCTCTAGGCTAGCGAGTCGTGACTGCCTGTCGTTGGAGGACAACAGTAGATCATTCTATAATGCTCAGTACCTATATTTCTTTTTAATAAAAAAAAATGCAGCTTAAAATGGCAAACAAATTCACGGCCTACTTCAAAGAAAGTGGTACCCGTCGCTTATAAACATGATCAGTACCATGGACATAACAGAGTATATTGTTTTGCTCATGATATCCTCCATACGTTGCCATTCCTGAAGACTAAGATGCTATGCTTCTGTACCTAGTAAATTCACTGACATATCGCACCCTTCTAACTAAAACGCAGCCAACAGACAGAGGTACCTAAGCAAACAACTTTTACACAAAGTTACCTCTATTCATAAGAGAATTCGTATAGAAAAAGAAAACAAAAATGTATTTTTAAATGATATCTAAAAGGAGGTTCGCAACTTGTTGTATTTTTTATTGTGGCTATTTTATATTACCATAGACGTATTTGAGTGAATATTGCTCACACCAGGGTGCCAGCAAAAGCTTTCATTTACGTCCAAAGTACATGTCTTAGAGCACATATACATCTTTTTACATGGTTTAGGTTTATTTGACATGGTTTAGATCATAAGTAATGCTAACCCTAATGCTACATTGCATTTATGAACTCATTTTACAACCGATAAATTTTGGTCTTCTGTTGACCCCATATTAATTTTGTGAAGATATTCCTGTCTTTTTTTGGCTCACTAAAAAATGTTTGTTCCAAAGTAGTTGAAAATTCAAGCGAACGATGCGCATTTGTTTTGACCCTCGTCAGTTCGACGATATTAATAGAAACAACAAAGTTTTTAAAATGCAGGCGTCGTCTAGACGTAAATATTCAGATTCGCCTTGTTTGCAAAGACTTGTGCTTGTCCATTTTAGGCGGGTTTGAATCCATTGTCATTCGTGTTTGTTCCTGTGTTTACTATGTATAGATACAGATATATATAATCTATATAGATTATAATGTTAATATTCATAAGTATTAGTCGTCATACATTATGAAACATATAAAAAAATCATAAGATAGTAATTAATTATTAATTAAGTACTTATTATTTATTTATTATTAATTAAGTAATAAATAATTAATTCTTAATAATAAGTAATTCTCGCCGTGTGATCCCGACATAAGATGATAATAATGGTCGAGGGATGGGCAGCAGTGTCCTTAAAACATCACCAAAAGCTAACTGCGGTTGCCAACCCGCCTGTCAAGCGTGGTAACTATTAACAAAACCCCTCCTATGGGAAAGACCTATGTAATATGTATATATATATATATATATATGTGTATATATATATATATATATATATATATATATATATATATATATATATATATATATATATATATTTTATAAGCATTATCACTATCTTTCTTATTCAAAATAATGAAATTATTATTAGACTAACACAAGTATAAAACCCTAAGAATTGTAAAAACAATTGAATTGAGTATCAAAATGGAATGAATAATATACAAAAATACAATACATAAAAATCATTCAAAATATGATAGAATATATAAGTTTCTCTCTTTGAATTCGCTTTATAAATTTACAAATAGAATCACAAAGATTACACCTTTGTCTGGGTTTGAGAAAATTACAGCTCAATTAAAAAAAAATAATGTATAATTCCAATTTTAAAATTTAACAGTTTTAATCCTGACACGTGACTAAATCGTTTAGACGAATCCAAAACCGGTAACAATTTGGTACAAATTATAAGAAATGTTAATTTCTTAAATCATTATCTAAAAAAAAAATTGACACACCTCAATCGATGGATAATTGATTAGACTATTATGTTTATTGACGTAATATTTAAAAATAATCATTTGTTAATCAATACTGAATTGTCCTTGTTCTAAGAATTTTTAGGTCACTTTAATTATTATGACCTTTTTTTGTAATTTTTATTTTTATATCACTGAGGTGGCAAACAAGCATACGGCCCACCTGACGGTAAGAGGTTACCATAGTTCATCACCTGCAATACTAGGGATATTACGCGCGTGTTGCCGACCCTGAAGAAACCTCTTTACCCTCCTTTTTAATCTTTGAAGAACACCATCCTGTAGTCTCTTGGGAAAACCTCGGCAGGCCTCATTCCATAACCTGAGTGTTTGTGGGAGAAAACATCTCTGAAACCGTGTTGTACGTGACCATTTAGACTGTAAGGTATGAGCGTGAACTCCCTGTCGATGGCGAGCCGTACGATGATAGAAAGTGGCCGTGGGCATCATATTGAACAATTCCTCTGAGCACAGTCCGTTGTATAAGCGGTAGAACACACAGAGTGAGGCAAGATCTCTCCTAAGACTTAAGGGTTCGATACCGCTTGTAAGCTTGTTATTTTGTTATGCAAAAAACATGTAATCATTTGGAAGGAATAATAGAGAGTGATTGTCCATATATTTATCTGTTTTAATATCTAAATTAGTTTATAACCACTTCTCCTATATTTAAATAGATTTAACTTCAACTATTACAAGCTGAAATTTTGAACGATTAAAAAGACGCATTTCTGATGACGTATCAAAATAAAGCATACAATGCATATTTTTTCGACCTCCAGGAACATAGCCGTATCTAATTTGGTGTAGTATTTTTTGCGTGATACCGGAATAAACGTACAGACAGACAAAAAATCTAAGAATTACTTTTTGGTTTCTGTTGCACTTATTAAGGTTAAAATAGATAATTGTGGATTTAAACAGGCCTTGTATTTTATTCTTTATTTAACAGATATCTTACTTGACAAAAGAGAGATCACATCTTTTTAATTCATAGATACAGATTACAAACGGATGCGTTCCACATCTACATTATTTATTTTATTGATGCATTCTTTAACAACAATTAAGACTCCGCATAGCAATTTTTCTATATCTCAATGTACGAATATTGCCTAGGTTTTGTTTTTTTTTTTTTTTTAATGGATTATAGTGGAGTGGTAACTCCCCTGCGCTGATGGTGTTGTACACTGGCAGGGCACCATTGAGGGATGATAGGGATGAAGCAGGTCAGTTAGCCCATCCTGGCGAATTTAACAATAAACCAGTCACGATGGTTTCCAGGGGAAACCGCGTAGAGTTCGACCTGATAAGGTATATTGATAGCATATAATTCTAATTACTAACAATCCCCTGTCACCCCGACATTGCCTAGTTACAATGTGTTATGAGCAACTCATAAAAATCTACATTTGAATTACAGGAATCGATGTCGGACTGGGACCGTGGGTTCAGCGAGTTGGATGCGCCGGCGCCGGTAGCCGGCGCCCCGGGCCGCAAGTGGAGCGCGAGGAATGCGCACGCGCAAGACACCGCCACCGACCAGTCAGCGCCACTCGCCAACAACACTGACGCTTGCAAGTTGCTCATTGTGAGTACCGTGTATACAATAAACGATATTTCGACGAATAACTTTTTTAAATATATAATTATAGATTAAAGCTCTTCATTGTTGTAATAATTTGAAGTTATATTCACGAAGAGACTTTTTAAGGGAAAATTTGGTTAGAGACTTATTGATATGAATAGGTAGTGCATTCCAAAAATTGTTGGCTGAGATGATGAAAGATTGAGAGAAGTTTGATCGGTGGGTGAGGGTATACAATAATAGATTATTTACACTGCCATGTACTACGTATTACGAAACAAGAATAAGAATGCTCCAAATGAAGAAGTACCTAAATCCATTTAAGCGATTAACACCAATTAACCCAGTTTACTGTGGGACTAGATAGGGTATGAGTCAACCATATGCAATATGATATTGTCATTAGTGTATTATTTTATTTCCCATCCATTATACGCAGCTTGGTTGTTTATGGTAAAATATACAAATATATATATATCTATATAGTCATCCAATTAGATAGAGAAATTATTTAAATCATTGCACGTGTATGTGGTGCAAATAATAATTTAAAATTGTTTCACAAAAAAAAAAACACTTTAATCGTGATAAAACCAGTTGTTTTGATTTAAATACTAAGCTATTAAAACGATTTTGTAAAGTTTCTATTGAACTAATCAGACTAAAAAAAAAATTTTTCAAATCGGTTTATAAGTGACAGAGTTATGAGGTAACAAGTATAAAACATACCAAACAAACCAATTGAGAATTTACCCCTTTTTTGAAGTTGGTTGAAAACAACAGTTACTTTCCGAAACTACAGTAGAATCACAAAAAAGCGACGACATAAATAAGCTTTCATATTAAACCTATTTCAATAAAATTAAGTTTGATTTGATATATTCTCTTCCTTATTTATTATACCCATGAATTAACTATTAACGCAATTATACACTCATGTTTACGAGTGTAGAGTTGACATATTATTAGAAGATACCGTTTCAGATACATAAATGTGCAAATCATAAACGATAATTTCAAATCGTTACCTGTGATTTTTATCATTTAAACAGTTGTTTATAATTTCACTACTATATTCTCACCCTTTCAAATCAAAATACAGCCTTGCAAACATAGCTGCTTCTAGCAGAAACAAGAAAGGGATAGAACTGCAGTAGACGACTTTACTAATGTACTAAATCTTCCTCTGACGTAACACTAATAGTGGTAGGTTTGCTGAAATTCAAAACATTTATATTTAGTTGTAACTCAAAATCGAACTTGTCATGAATCTTGGTGTATTCTTTTCCCTTTTGTGTGCTAGAGAAATACTTCTCTTCCGTTTCTTTTACTTTTTACACATAAATTCGATGACAATCAATTTATACTTTAAACCTAGTTACTATAAAAGTTGATTTTTTATAATATAATATCTAATCATTACAGTACATTGGCGAAGCGAAGAATCCAATATGGCGCCTACAGCTGTGTGGCGGGAACGCGGCTTCCATTGCCGCGAGAGCGGGGGCTAAGTTGTTACCCCCGAAAATCAGGATCGTGTGGAACCCGCCTACTTCTCCTTACCAGCACACGGAGAAGCTACGACTGGTGGTCACAGCAGTTAATAGTGGTAAATACTGCAAATTTTTATTCCTATATCTCTAATTTTTTTAAAAATGTACGATTTTTTTTATAATGCTATTAATTATTATTATTCCTTAATATGAATTTTAGATTGACAAACAAGCTGACTTATTATTTTTATTTACATTTTATATTTTCATAAAAAATATTAAATAAATAAATATAATCTAAACTAAAAATATAAAATTTTAATGGAGTAGTCAAAAGCATTTGTAAACTGTTGATGTTGACAAATTAATAATTCGTTTTTTGCTGATCTAGGTGTAATTTTACGAAATTTTATATCACTGGTTTTTTTATTAGAATTATTTTGTTCGATTTCGTTACCATTAGTATGTGTGAGACTGCCAAATGAAGACCGACTATTATTATTATTCCTAGAAGTTCTACAACCTTCTGTTTTATACATCAATCTCCGATTGCCATTGCATCCACGCACGTTTTGCAACACGTAATTACGACATCTCTAAACGGGGCATCTTCGGGCAAATCATCTTTCAATTTATTATATTAGTATAGATTATATGTTTTCTTTATTGTTATGACCTTAATTAAATTGTAATTGTATTTATTTCGAATTTAAGGGGCAACGTGCAATAATGAATCTCAATTCGTATGCGGAGTGACGGGTTTATGCATATCGTCGTATTTGGTGTGCGACGGTGTGAAGCACTGTCCTGGCGGGGAGGACGAGGACTCCAGCGCCTGTTCTCACAGGCGAGACCCTCCGCTCCTCGAGCTACTAAGAAGATTCGCGGCGAGGAACCAGGAGCTATTAGGCCTGGACCAACCAGATGGACAGACGAAGCCGTCAGTTATTAGTGAGTATTTATAATGTTTATCATTTTATTTCTTTTTTTTTTAATTGTGTTTATTCATAGACAATATAATTTATTCATAAAAATAAAATTTATAAGCAATACCGAGGTTTTCCCAAGATACTACAGCATGGGGTTCATCAAAAGGGGGGTAAAGAGGTTTCTTCAGGTTCGGCAACACGCGCGTAATACCCTTGGTATTGCAGGCGTTCATAGGCTATGGTAATCGCTTACTATCAAGTGCCACCTCAGTGGTATAAAAAAAAAACAAAATTAGTCAATTTAAAATAATCTCTTAATAATAACAACATTTTTGAGGTTCTATATCAAAATGGTGCAAAGGAATCGGTTACAATGATTTCATTCTTTTGTTTGACCGCTTCTCATATTCCTATATCTCGGCATTACTAACGCTATCGACTTGACCCTTGTTGCAAAAGAAATAACAGATAATATATTATTATATTCTTTAAATCCAAAAAGTGTTTCTAAAAGTACAAAGTGAGGATTCATTCTAGTATAGGTGAGGTGAAACGGCTTTATTTGCACATTCTTAAGTCGATTTTTAAAAAGTTTTAGTTTTTTTTTTTTTTATTAAATACAAAACAACCTATTTATCAATTATTTTATGTATTAGAATCCTCGGTGTATGAGTCTTATATTTGATTGGTTTTATGTAATAAGAGAAAAAAAAATTAGGCATAATGTATGTAATAATAATAATTGCCATATAGTCCCGGCATAGACCGGGTCACCTCATCTTTTCCTGTGGGTGTCGTAAGAGGCGACTAAGGGAACTTAATGATCGAGGGATGAACAGCAGCATCTCTCTTAAAATATCACTAAAAACCTAACTTCGGTTGCCAACCCTATCCTATAACTGCTGGTAAAACTCCCCATTAGGGGGAGGCCTATGTTCAGCACTAAACACTTAACGGCTGATGTGATGATGATAATGATGGAGTAATAAAATATTATTGTTTTTAATGTTTAACATCGAAATTTCCGGATTCATACAAATATATAAATTGTACTATTTGTCTTTAGTGAAAATCTCCGAAGGGGAACAGAAGTCGAATGCGTTCATGGAATTCGCAGCGGCGTTGAAGCCGTACGGCCCGTGGAGCTACCTGGTGGTCGGCATGCTGGTCTGCGCCACTATACTCATGTTCTGCTTGGCATGGGGTACGTACTACATTGTCATAACTTATGTAACATTATAGCAAATTTATTTTCTATTAAGAACATTAAGACAAAATATTTTGGTTGTCTAGAAGAGATCGCTTTTAGCAATAAGGTCGCCCATTTTTTTCTTATTGGGATTTTTTTTTGTAATTGTTTATATCTATAATAAGTTTACTATTGTAATCTTTTGGAAGAAACAATAAAGAGTATCTGTTTAGCTATCTATGTATTTTGATTTTGTTTAAACTGCGAATTATTGGTCCAGTTAGAAAAACAGCGCCGCATTTTGGGACGACTGGTCACAAAATTTATAAGGGATTAACATTAACATGAAAAAGAATTATATAAATCAATATAAAATTGGCGACGTAATCGAGTAACATAGCTACAAAAAAAAAAAACTTTTAAAAGTCTCTTACAAAAATCAAAACATTATTAGCTTTTTGCGGCTTTATCCGCTTAAATTAGTACATAAAATATCATATGAGTAAATTTAGTATATTACGCTACGCACATACCAAATTTTATTCAAATCCATTTAGTTGTTTAAATATATTTGAATAACACATATACACACATTTTTATAAACTCACATCTATTTTTTTTATTTTACTTGGAATGGCAAACAGCCCACCTGATGGAAAGTGGTAACCGTTGCCTATAAACATGAGCAGTACCATGGACATAACAGAATATACTGTTTCGCCCATGATACTTCCCATGCGTTGCCGTTCCTGAGGACTCAGGTGTTATTCCTCTGTACCCTGTAAATTCACGCCATATCCCACCCTTCAAACCGAAACACAGCCATGCAAACACAACTGTTTTACGGTTGAAACACAAATGGGACAGAGGTACCCAAGCAAACGACTTTTGTACAAAGTCTCCCTCTGGTACATGTTTACATAGTGTAAAACAAAGTCGCTTCCCGCCGGCTATACGCTTTCTTTTAAACTATCCAACGGATTTTAATGCGGTTTTCTTCAATAGATTAATTCTTATTTTAATAAAAATTAAAATAAAAGTGATTAGAGAGGTCGCTAGCTCATAATATCAGTAGGATATATTTATCTATTTATTACTTACTATTAGTTTAAAATAAATAAATAAACAACTTTGTTTCTTGCTGTTACAGAATGCTGCTGCAAACGGTCCAAGCCGTCGGACACTCCCATCAACATACCGCCGCAGTGCATCGACCTCTCCCCGACGGTGACGGTCACGGCCGCCTCCCAGCAGCTGTTCACCCAGCCCCTGCCGCCCTCCCCGCCGGAGTACGAGCCGCCACCTTCGTACTCCTCGCTGTTCCCGCGAGCCTTCAAGTCCTCCCCCACACCGGTACCACACTGCTCCCACCAGGAGCCCCCGGATTGAATGGCGAACGATTACTGTAAAAATTAGTTAGGTAGATATTTTAATTAATTCCATGTAGTGTAGTGGTAGGTGCACATTTTTTAATAATAGTAATAATCATCTGAACATAGGCCTTCCTCACAAAGGAGGTTTGGCCTTATTTTAATACATATGCCAATTTATGATCACGTACAGTGCTGTTTCAAAAGTATTCTTCGAGGTTTTTTCTAGAAACTACTGTATGGGGTTTTTCAAAAAGGGTATTTTAAGGTTTCTTCAAGGTCGATAACGCGTACGTGACACCCCTAGTGTTGCAGGCGTCCATGGGCTGAATGCTTGTTTGCCACCTTCGTGGTATAAAAAAAAACCAAAGGTCTCTATCCTTTCGTACACATTTATATATATATATATATATATATATATATATATATATATATATATATATATATATATATATATATATATATATATATATATATATATATATATATATATATATATATATATATATATATATATATATATATATATATATATATATATATATATATATATATATATATATTTTTCTTTATTTGAATTTATCCGCTTTCATAGCTTATCTGGCTCACTAACTTATCTATATGATATAGAACGGATAGAAATGGTATCATATTGCAATATATCGCTTACCACTACATTACTTGTGCAATGTTAAGTTAAATAAAGACGATAGTATTCATATTTGTATATTATTACATTTTTGGGTTGAACCATCTGTGCCTGAAGCAGATTTCAATAACTTTTGAAATATAGGCTTTAGACAAGTTTCCTCAAGCAATTAATATGACTTTTAGGGTTAATATGCACTTAGAATTTTCATATAATTATAGTTTTGTTATTATTCATATCGGCTGTGCTGCGAACAGCACTTTGCGAACAGCGTGCTGTTTGTTCCAGCACGCTCATCAATAAAGGCTCCTATTGAGTTCGTAACTATTCGGACATCCCCGAATTTAAAACGTGAGTAAAGCCGTTATAAATAATTACATAACAGCTATGATTCACGAAATATAATTTTATTTATTTTTCCGTAGATAATCAAAACGCAGATAAAAGTTCGCGCTAAAAAAAAATCACGCGAAGAATATGAATATTTGCAGTGCGTATTAATACTTATTATGTGCAAGAAACAAATTTGGAATTGCTTTTCTTTTTAAATTATTTTTTGTCAATTTTATAAAGAATAATAAAAAAGAATAAAATAAATTCTTTAGGTCCATAGACAAAGAAGCGTAAAATGTAGTAAACTAGTATCTACGTAAATAACGTGACTATTCATCATTTATTTTTTATTGTATCCACATTGCGAATTTTCTTTTTTTTTTTTATTAAATATTACATTTTATGCTTTTTATCATTGATGATAAAAGATGAATTGCTTTGTCTTTTGGCTCTCGTTTGCTTGGAAACCCTTTGTATTTACCTTTTTAGTGTGTTATCTTTTATTATTTTTAGCATTAAACTGATTATTGTTTGGGATAATTCTCTGTTAAAACTTTCGACTGAATTGACTAGAGAAAACTTGAACACTTCTGTTTGTATGTTTTTCATTTATTTTTATTTGTATGACTGTATAGCATTGTATAAGAATTCCTTTTCGGTGTATTGAAAACTGTACAGATTGTATTTGTATGGTTGAAAATGTTGGGACCAAGTTTCTTATAAGTATTAAAAAAATGTGCCTTATATTAATTGCTACATAATATTAAATTGAGAGAAATGATTGAAAATTTAAATACGTACATACAATTTTGTCTTATTATAAATTTGACATAAAGAAAACTAACAACTAAAGTCAGAAGTTGTCACACGAAAAAATAGATTAATTACAAATGCACGGCAAACATCTTGAAGAACAAACATAAAACCTACGCAATAGCGTTTACTTCGTACTTTTTATGGTACTAATGTCTAATATACAAATAAACAAATATCGATATTTCTATGGTATAAATGTTTTTTTTTCAAGTTATTTGCTAGTAGAAATGAATAAATATTCAAATTAAATGACACAGAGTAATTTTGATGATAAATATTAAAAACAATTGTAGATAAAAAGATCACTAAATAATATAGGCCAGCAAAAAAAAAATCAAGTCATTTGTAATCTTGTTCGATTTTCAAAGTCGTTCATTGTAAATTAATTTGAATGAAATTAGTATAAATGAATATTTAGATTCCTAGTGGATCCTTATTTCCTAATGGATATAATTGACATAAAATGGATTAAAATTAAAATTTTAATGCTATGTTATAAATAGGTATAATAAATAATTGTATGCCTATTAAATAATTAAACTGACTTTTTATTGTTAGATAATTGTAATCTGTTTCAACAGAACTTAATAAAAAGGTAAGGAATTACAAAATTTTTGTAAATTTATCACAAAAACACTGTTTAAATGAAATTAGTAACAAATAATAATAATCATTTAGCAAACATTGGGGTCGATTTTGAGGCGTCATTTCTTAACCTAATATTTTAATTATTTCGCGAAATTACTGTTTTATGGAACATCATAAACTGAAATTATAATAATTTTGACTTAAATCTGTTAGAATTTTAGCTCATATGAGTCTTTATTATAACTTATAATTATTAATATTATAACTTATAATTTTGATGTGATATCAAATTGAAATTTTAATTTTTGCGATACTTTTAGTTTAGAGAATCGGCGCTTCAGAATCGACCCCATTGTCACACTTACAAAGAAGGTTCATACAGAGTAATGTAACGTTTAGTATTGAAATATTCAATTAATCTATCCACTTTACATTAGTACTGGCTAATGGACATTAGCACATGTTTTGGTCGGGTCAATTATTTATTTATTCACATTAAGTTTCACTGAAACAGACTATATCTAATTCTCCAATTGGATTATTCTTACGTTTTCTCATTTTCGATTCTAAGTTGTCATTTTTCTAAACCTAATGTTTTAATTTGATAATTTTACGAAATTACTGCTTTGTGGACCATCAAAAACGAAATATATATTATTTTTTAATTAAATCTATTTAAAAATTATGTTATTGGTCCTTACGATAAAGAAGAGTTCTCTGTGGTTTTTTTTAAGACTGGTTTAGAAAACTGTCACCTCAGAATCGATACCATTGTATTAAATATGAGTAGTTAAGACATGAATACAATCAATATTGTTTATATTTAGTTAGTTCGTAATAAAATGGAGGTACCTAAAAATATAAATGTTTGACTAGTCTTATATAAGGTTCCGTTTTATTAATATTTTGACTATAATGCTAATAGTATTTAATCGTGCTTCGAGTAAATTAAAAGAGAAAAAATATGTAACTAGTAAAAAGGTATAATCACATATAAGTGCTTAACGTTTTAGGAGTGTTGGAATGTGATGAGAATGAATGAAAATAATTTATAACAAGTCAGTATATTTGAATTACTTTGTTAAGTATTAAAAGGATTCATAATAATAAAAAAAAAAAAACATGATAACATGTGTAAAAAAACTTCGAAATTGTAAACAAAGATGAACGTTTGTGAATCAAATTGTATGATATATTGGTACCACGATACGAAGGCTGAAACTGATTTTCTTGTACACTCAAAAATAAGCAGATTAATGTGCATTATCCATTTATTTGTGTGTTAGGAATAGAGTAAGAGTAGAAGACAGAACGACATTGTACTCTTTTCTTTCCCTTTTTATCAAAATAATGTGTGTTCAGTGTATAAAATTAATTTTATTACATATTATGTCCACATACATAAAAGTGATATACTTATGTGTTATAGTAAAAATATTAATACTTATCAAGAAAATAAATAATTTATTTTTAATCTGTATTTTCATTTATTTTAATTAAGGTGAACGCACACGTAAGGGAACTTAATGGTCGAGGGATGGGCAGCATTATCCCTATTAAACCATCACTAAAGCCTAACTGCGGTTGCCAATTCGCCTGCCAATTATGGCAACTACTGGCAAAACTCCCCTTTATGGCAGAAAGCTATGTCCAGCAGTGAACTGTAAACGATTGATATGATAATGATGAACGCACGTCTATACCCATAAGCACCGAAAATATTTCAACTTAATTTTAGAATTCAGTGTATAAAATTCTGTGGAACTCACACTCTTATTTGAATTGAATTCTACCAAACAGCGGAAGAATTGAGAGAGTATGCAAATCTCAGACAAATTCGCATGAGTTTATTAAATTTATTATAGACCACAGAGCCAGTAATCACGCATGGACATTACATCCATGTAGTTATACCCTAAGGCTAGCTAACACTGATTTTTAACCCCTAAATATGGCGTAGCTTTGAAAATAAATATATATAAGTTTAGGTGCAAAACCTATTTGACAAGAAGTATATAATTGAAATACGAGGCAAAGAAATAAATTTTGTCTAAATGTATGTAAGTAGTTGTAATTTCTTGTGCAAAACTCAGAAATCCGTTTTATCTGATAATCCATTTTTAAAAAAATATAGCAACTTTTTTTTATTTAATTTTTTTTTATAAATTGCTATTTAATTAAATGAGTTTGGTAATATATAAGTTTGTGGTATGATGATTGTTTTGGTACTATTAACAGGGATTTACTAGTTCAGAAACTTTTCAAAAATTATTTTTTTACGGTACTTATGTAGCATGTACTTTAACTAGGTTTTTCTTTATGTTCAGTTATGATTTTTTAACCCAAGCAAAGAGTTAAACAAGTATATCTGCCATCTAGTTACCTTTTTATCAGGAGAGACTTGGTACAAAATTTCTGTTACCACGTTTCTGTTCTACCGTGAAGTAGCAATGTTTACATGCCTGTTTTGGTTTGAAGTGTGAAATGTGGCAATAAACTTACAAGATACGGAGCCATAGCAACATTCTTCTGAAATTAGTTATGATGGGTTTTTTTTTTTTGATGGGTGAAAATGGTATGGTAACCCCGCCTGCGCTAATGAGATACGCTGGCGGAGCGCCAGTGAAGGGTGATAGATGAGAATGAAAACAGGCCAGTTAGACCATCATGATGAATTTATCAAGAATTAATCTTGATAGTTTCCAGGGGAAACCGCGAGGAGGTCGACCTGAGTTATGATAGGTTAACTGACCTGCTTTCATTCATACTTATTGTTTCACTGGTGCCCCGTTAGCGTATACTAGTAATGCAGACGGAATTACCATCCCCTTTTGACCCATTAAAAAAACTTGTTGCCCGTTAGCATATACTAATAGCTTGAAACTACGTTGATTATTGTAGGCATCACAGTATATTTTGTGAGATTCATGATATGTCTTTAAGCTACGATTACTACTCTCCATTAGGGGAACTGTAAGTTTAAGTATTAAATCCTAAATAGTAAAAAAAGAACAATTAGGAAGCAGTTTCGTAATAATTTTCTTTAGAATTAATAATTATCAGGTTAAATTCAAGTTTCTCAATCTATGCAAATAGCATAGATTAAAAAACTTGTGATCATAAAATAAGTAGTCTGTTATGACATTCATCTCATGTCAGACAGTCATAAACAGTCAGTCATTAGTATAGATTCCAGACAAATTATCTTTTTGAAGACTAGGCAGCATGGTCTCCGACCTTAGCCTGTTCCAAACGGAACAAACGTACTAAAAAAAAAAAAAAAAAATCATAAACAGTCAGTCATTAGTATAGATATTTACTTTCTACTTAATTTTAAATAAATACTAAATAAAAAATCATTTAGAACAAAATGTGAAAACTCATATATTTCTTGTAATATAATCAAACAGGAAAATAAAATGGCTAATGACAATAAAACAGAGATTTGCCGTGTGTGTTTAAAGACTGATCTAGTGAAAGAAAATAAATTCTTGTCACTGTTTGAAAAGTTGAAAGATGCTACGATCTCTGAAAATATTAATACCATAGCAGATGTATCAATAACACACGGGGACCGTCTGCCTACAAAAATATGTCCGGAGTGTCTTTTAGAATTGGAAACCGCCCTAAATTTCAAACACAAGTGTGAGACTTCCAACAACATACTTCGAAACACATCATTCGACAAATTCACAGACTTTCTTTTAGAAGAATATAATGTGAATCACGTTAAGAAAGAAGAAAGTGAATTGGTTCAAAAAGAGTCCGATAATGATTTTTATTTAAATATAAATGATTATCTTGACACCAATACGGAAGATGAATCAATCGGAGATGATTTACCAGACCAATGCCCAGTAAGGAAAAGTAGGGCTATCGATCTCAAAGTAGTATGTAATGAGTGTGGTGATTCCTTTAAAAGTAAATGCAAGTTACGTGTTCACTGGAAAAAGGTGCATCTCCCACAAATTTTGCTCTGTCCTGTATGTAAAAGAACTTTTAAGACATATAAAGCATTCAATAGACATCAAAAGATTAGAGTTAAAACTTGTTTATCAACAGATAATATGAGGGTAGAGGGGATTGGCAAATCCAGAATATTCCATTGTAAATGTTGCGATTACAGTTCTCGCCGTGTTAAAGATATGCAATCACATATAGTGACACACAATGGTGAACGGCCATTTCCCTGCTCATTATGTGACAGAACGTTTACACAACAAAGCTCGGTACAGGCTCACCAAGAATCCGCACACCAAATATATTTTATAGAGACTACTTGTGAAATCTGTGGTAAATTCATCAGGGGACGCAATGCTGTATACAAGCATATGAGAAGGCACAAAGATGAAGGTTACCAATGTGATATCTGTAAAAAAATTTTGAAAACAAAATGTACACTGAGGTCTCATTTAGTTAGGCACACTGGGGTAAAATCATACACTTGTGAAAAGTGTGCATCCACCTTCTTCACTATAGCTGAACTCGGTAATCACAAACGATTCACTCATAACAAGGACAGATTTCTTTACAAGTGTGACATTTGTGAATATAAGAGTACTAGAAGTGAGGTCCTGAGGAGACATAAATCCAAACATACACTTGTGAATGTATCATGCACACTTTGTGGGAAATTTTTTGCAGATGCACAAAAATTATCTCTTCACCAGAAAAGGCATTATGCAGAGAGGAAATATTCATGTCCACATTGCAATACGAAGTTTCTGAGAAAAGACTATTTGCAACGACATTTGCGTTCTAAGCATATGTGCGCATTGGTATCAACAAAACCTCAACCTTTTAAAGAGGAAAATCTATCGTCTACTGTTTGTGAACCAATCATTGAAATATCCACATCAAGCATAATTTAACAATAAATACAATTTTAAAACTATTTATTACTTTAGTTAATGAAGCAGTATAAAGGAATTTTGTTTATTGTACACCCCAAAAGTGAATTCAATATTGTTAGGAGATGTGTTCCTTCATTTAGATCGATTCTAAGGTGCCATTTCTATAAACATATCTCTTAATGTTATATTTTAATTTGTTAAATACAATTGTATTCAGAATAAAGCCTATGTTAAGTGCAATAATTGATTGGATCCCTTTGCAATTTTGTTAACTAGTCATAGGTTAATAATTTCTACTTCTGATGTTAATTTTTTAAATTATATTCTTCACGAATTTATCTAAACTATAAAGTAAATGTAAATAAATTATAAAATATAAAGATTAAACTAAATTTGACATCATTTTAAATTTCCTTTCCATTTTTATTTTAGTTTGCTTTTTTAGTTTATATCATATATTACCTGAGGGAGACTGTACAAAACTCATCCACTTAGGCACCTCTGTCCCATTTGTGTTTCTACTGCAAAGCAATTGTGTTTGCATAACTGTGTTTTGGTTTGAAGGCTTGGATATAGTGGCAATGAATTTACAGGGTACAGAGTTACAACAGTCCTCAGATACAGAGTTACAACAGTCCTACACATGGGGGTATTGTGGGCGAAACAGTACACTCCGTTATGTCCATGGTACAGTTCATATCTATAGGTGACGGTTACCATTTTCTATCAGGTGGGCCGAGAGACAACGGCGGGAAAAAAGCTGTTTTCCAAAAAAATATTGTAACAAAATATTTTTTTTACTTCGATAATTTATTCAGGTTACACCTGTCTTTGTTCCATATTAGTTTTGTAATATTTACAGTAGTTTTTTTGTAAAGCAAAATCCAAATTTATATATACACAACATATAGCACAATGAGGGTGTAAGCATACTGTCTACCTGATGGCAAGCAAACAGTCGTCGCAGTGTATAAAGCCTATAAACGTACTTCCTGTGTTTTTTTTTTATTGGTTTAACATTGAATGGTAATTCTGCCTGTGCTGTCGATATACATCAACGGAGCACCAGTGATGGCTGATAGATCGAGAATTAACCACAAAGGTTTCCAAGAGGAACCGCGTGGAGATCGACATGACAAGGTGTATTGCTAGTTATGAGGTTGTTAGACCCCATTACCAATAAATCCCTTTCACCCCTTACTGGTTCTCTTTGTGATCTGCCTTCATTTTTATACTTTCATTTTCCACTGGTGTCGCGCTATTGTTATACCGTTAGTATAGGCGGTGGCACCATTCCATTTCTACCCATTAAAAAAACTGATGGAACTTTTCTAAATGTTAAAGACTGTACTCTTTTTGTTTTCGCACTTGGCCAAATCCAATAGTCAGGACGATACTCCTAGATACGAAAGTTGTTTAAGTACCTACCAAAAAAGATACATACTTATTTGCTGACCGATCTTCAGAGGGCGTTCGCTTCAGGAGGAGGAAATCTTTACAACAACAGGGGCTTCTCTTTGCCCGCCAGATGATGTGTGGGCGGGCGAGGTAGGGACCTCGGGGCGTACCCCATTACCCCAGCTTCTACTCTGGAGGCGATGACCTCCGGGTCACTGGGTTTTTTTTTTTTTAATTGATGATAATGGAATGGTAACCCCACCCGCGCTATCGGTGTACACCGACGGGGCACCAGTGAAAAGTGATAGGTGAGGAGATGAAGCAGGCCAGTTAGCCCATCGTGACGAATTCAACAAGAATTGTTCACGATGGTTTCCAGGGGGAACCACGTGGGGGTCGACCTGATAGGGCATATTGCTAGCAATGGGGCTGTCAAACTCCATTACTAACAATCCCTTTCCCCCCTACGGGTCACTGGGTTTGCAGCCGGCATACAATGTTGGTCTGTGTCATCATCATCATAGGTCTTCTCATTAGTCCGCTTGTTTTGTAGGCGGGTGAGGTAGGGGCCTCGGGGTAAACCCCTCTACCCTGGCTTCAACTCCGGAGGCAACGGAGTTGAATACAAATACAACATCGATAAATATCCAGCAGAGGCGCTTTAAATGGTAGCAATAATAGCAAGCATGGACGAGGTATTTTTTGTCGAGATAGTAACAAATAGCAAGATAGAAGCTGCACGGTATTTTTTCGTAACAACGATAGATGGCGCTGTCAAATTTCTGTTACATTTTAGAACACGATATTAAAAGGTTTTGCTATGTAATGACTACCCCAGACTCAGATCGAAAGTTTATCGCTTCTCGGCCTTTTGGCTAAGATCAAAGTGTAGTATCTGTTCTTATCAGCTTAATATCTGGAAGTTCCCTCACTGAGGGACCAGTATATTAAACTGATTTTTGTAAACCGACGGGATGTTCGGGGCTCGCTCCACTCCCGTCACGGGTCGGCCCGGCATTGCAGTGCCGCCGGGATTGGCCCACATAATTCATGAAAACCCATATTAAAATGCGATATTTGTCCATTCCCGGAGCGCAATTGCGTTCCCATTTGATGTTTTTTAATCGATTTATGTTCGCGAAATTTTGGAGAAGTCTAAATATAGGTTTGGAGAAATTTTGCAAATTTTTTTGTTCTTCACTTTTCTGTTACATGGAAAAACGTTTGCCGCCTTTGTGATATAAAAAAAAAATAAACAGCAAAACGTAGAAGAAAGAGATACAACTTTGTAATAGAGTAAAATTTCTGGAAATTATATATATCTATTAGAAAAAAAAAAATTAAAAATCAAAATACGTATCTATCTAGTAAATCGTAGTATTCTTGTGATTGTTTGTATTTATAATAAGTTTACTGTTGTAATCTTTTGGAGGAAACAATAAAGAGTATCTATCTATCTATAATCCTGATGAGTGACCACACTTATGAGAAAGTAGTTTTTAAATGTTTTTATTATATTTTAGTGCATATTAATTGGACAACTTAACGTGTGCATTATCGTACTTACATATTTAACTATTCACTTTAAAATTTAAACCGCTCACGGATCATTTGGTACATTACTGTAGGTAAATGTTTCCGTTTTATTTAGATTCCTGTTTCCTGTTCTTTGTAACAGTCGATACATATTTTATTCAACTTTATTGACTGTACTACAGACTCTGTAATAGTAATATAAGCGCAAACAATTGTTGCATGAAATACATAACGATAGTCACTCTGTGTTTATGGCTAAATTAAAATGTTGATGTACCTCGCCATTGCATTATAAAGTAAAATAATTACATTACAATTTCCATTAATTATATTATTCATATTGTTAATATTTTTACTTATTTAATGACATTTAATAATTTAATTCTATTTTAATATTTGTCAAACACAAGGCAAGCTGTGGTTGCCTATAAATGTAAGAACAGTTAGATTTAATCTACCAGTGTATTGTACTGAAATGTTTAGCTGTATCTTATGTTGGTAATCCTATAAATAAATAAATAAATAAATGGTCTCAAATCATGAAAGCGAATTTTTTAAACAAACTTTATATACTTTTTAATAATTGAGTATAGTTTATTGGAGTTATTTTTTTTAAGATGATAATGGAATGAGAATAACAGATTTTGTCCTAACGATAAGACCGCCTTTTATACCTTTATGTATATTTTTTTATCTGTACTTTATATTACTGTATTTCACTTGAATTTTCTAATTGTCCTTCTATATTTTTATGTTTTTAGTGCAATAAAGAATTAAATAAATAAATGGTAACCCCGCTTGCGTTATCGGTATACACTGGCGGGGCATCAGTATAGGATGACAGGTAAGGTTGAAAGAGGTCTGTTAGCCAATAGTGATGAATTCATAAAGGAATTAACCAAGGTGGTTTTCAGAGGTAACCGCGTGGAGGTCGACCTGATAGGATATATTACTATAATGGGGTTATTGAAATCTCATTATTAATAATTCCTTTCTCCGAAGTGTGTTATTTGTCATTGGATTTACGCTTCGTGAGTAAAATGAAGTCCGTGCATTTCTATCTAATTACAGGAGAGGAACAGAAATTTTGGGCAAACTAGTTCAAAGGCACAAGTTAATTGGTCCAGAACAAAGCACCGAGTTCCTGTAGTTTGTACCTACACTACCTACATATATTGCATAAAGTTGATCCTCAGTTGATCCTGCAATAACTCTGAGGAAACTACAGTGGCAAGCAGCAATCAACTGCAAAAGCAACTTTGTGTACACGTATTTCAAGCTTTAAGCATTGTACATTATACTAGATTTTACCCGCGACTTCATCCGCGTAACCGGTATATGTTTTTTGATAAGTGAAAATGGAATGGTAGCCCCGCCTGCGCTAACGGGATACGCTGGCGGAGCACTAGTGAAGGGTGATAGATGAGAATGAAAACAGGCAGGTCAGTTAGCCCATCATGATGAATTCATCAGGAATCAACCATGATAGTTTCCAGGGAGAACCACGAGGAGGTCGACCTGGTTGGGTATATTGCTAGCAATGGGATTCTTAGTCTCCGTTACTAACAATCTCTTTCCACCGACCGAGATAAGAAGAACCTCGTATTCTTTTCTATCTCACCTATTACGTATATACCAAATTTCAGAAGGGGCCTGGGATTGTTAGTAATGGGGTCTAACTGCCCCATTGCTAACAATATACTGTGTCAGGTCGACCTCCTCGCGGTTCCCTCTGGAAAACATCGTACATAACCTATATACTCGTATATATATATATATATATATATATATATATATATATATATATATATATATATATATATATATATATATATATATATATATATATATATATATATATATATATATATATATATATACATATAGCTATATATAGCTCATGTCTATAGGCGACGGTTGTTACAGCCTTTAGCTTGTTTGCTATTCACAGTTGCATAAAAAAAAAAATGTAGGGGATAAGCGTATGTTGATGTCGACCTGTCTCTTTTCGATATTTTATGGCGAATTGGTGACGTGCTGAAGAAGGGTTAAAAACACACGTGACCGACGAGCTAATACATAAATCGATGCATAACAATAAGAGAGAAAAAGGCTTTTTCAAAGGACTATTTTGTATTCTAGGCAGGAGTCACGTAGTGTTTGCATGTGTTATATCTTGTTGTATTTATTTATTTATTTATTAGCTGACTCCGCGAACTTCGTACCGCCGTAACAGTCGATTTTTTAATTTTTTTCGTTTTTTAATACTTATTCTGCTATTCGGGACGCCGGATCAGTTAGTAATGAGATAATTAATTGAAACTAGACTTGTAATTTGGTAAATTATGAATAAATTCTCTGTATCTATATTTAGATAGATAGATAAACACTTTATTTAAGCCATTTATGACACACGTAAATTAACAAATGAGTTTATACAATCAAATTATTTACACCTTTTTAAATATAAAACAAAAGATGTAATATGGAAATATGTTTTCACCAAGTGTGTCGCAGTGACCCAAATAGGCTACAGCTCAGTGATAGTTTTGCTTAAAAGCAAAGCACTGATTTTCAGCTACAGCCTGATGTTAGGCTACACGGACGCGTACAACAAACCCAGAGTGTAGGGGGAAAAGGGATTGTTAGTAATGGAGACTGAGAATCCCATTGCTAGCAATATACCCAACCAGGTCGACCTCCTCGCGGTTCCCCCTGGAAACTATCATGGTTAATTCCTGATGAATTCATCATGATGGGCTAACTGGCCTGTTTTCATTCTCATCTATCACCCTTCACTGGTGCTCCGCCTGCGTATCGCGTTAGCGCAGGCGAGGTTACCATACCATTTTCACCCATAAAAAAAACCCAGAGTGTAACCCGTGTAGTCAAATTAACAGCCAACGGTAAAATTGCATTATATAGATACATACTTACATAAATGATGCATAAATAATATATTTCATTAATTAATTAAACATATTGTATAAATATTAATTCACCACAATAATTATTATGTTAAAAGCAGTCGCTACTAGGCGACCAGTCCAAGTTTTTGCTTATTTAATAAATGCTACTTTGCTATTTGTAAATGGATCTTGGGCCTTTAATACTAATTTTATTAACATTATTATGTTATTTTAATATGTAAGTGTTAATTTAATTATTTATTCGCTTTTTTTTATACAACTTAGAATAGCAAACAAGCTGACGGTCCACCTGATGGAAAGTGGTAACCGTCGCCTATAGACATGAGCGGTACCACGGACATAACAGAATATACTGTTTCGCCCATGATACCCCCCATGCGTAGCCATTCTTGAGGACTTAGGTGTTATTCCTCCGTACCCAGTAAATTCACGCCATATCCCACCCTTCAAATCGAAACACAGCCATGCAAACACAACTGCTTCACGGTTGAAACACGAATGGGACAGAGGTACCCAAGCAATCGACTTATGTACAAAGTCTCCCTCTTGTAAGGTCTCGCTTCATTATATTCATTCATATTTTAACAATAGTAATACATACATACATACAAAGTAACCGACATAACCTGAAGGATAAGGAAGCTGAACTGGCAACAAGCTGGTCACATAGCGAAGGAGAACTGACAACCGATGGGGAAGAAAGGTTCTTGAGTGGCGACCCCGTACGTGCAAACGCAGTGTAGGACGATCTCCTACTAGATGGAGTGACGACCTGAGCATTGCAAGGAATCAGTAGATGCAGATGATTTAGGATGGCAGTCTATTAGGGTAGAGGGGAAAGGAATTGTTAGCAATGGAGTTTGACATTGACCTTAATATTAGGTAGTCCGCATTATTAATAATTCCTTTGTTAGTAACGCGGACAGCCATTCTCCGTCCACTGCTTTTGTTTTTTTTAATGGGTGATAATGGAATGGTTACCCCGCCTGTGCTATCGGTATACGCTGACGGGGCAGCAGTGAGCGATGATAGGTGACGATGAAAGCAGGTCAGTTAGCCCATCTTGACGAATTCCACTAGAATTAATCATGACGGTTTCCAGGGGGAACTGCGTGGAGGTCGACCTGACAGGGTGTATTGCTAGCAATGGGTCATTTAGACCCCATTACTAAAAATCCCTTTTCCCCCAATATGCACTATTAGGAAAAAAATTCCTCGGCCATTATTTGCCTTTATTGCCTCTTACGACACCTATGAGAAAGAAAGGGATCCATTCTATGCCGGGCACGGCAATAAATTGCTTTAATATACAAAAATGGTTATGCGGTTTACCACACAAATAAACAAATAACAATAATAAAATAACTAATGAATGCTCTAAATAGACAAAAAAGGTATTTAAATGGATTAAAAAGCAGTACTTAACGATGACTTTTATGTATACACCACTTCCATTTTGCAACTTTATCAATATTTTTATTATTTCTCAGACCGGTTTCCCGCGGTAGCACTGCACACTGTTGCTTGCGTCATAGACTATACAGTGTATGGAGAGGACAAACGGCGAATTGACACATAGGTACATAGTGGCTACTGAAATTTTAAAATAACTATCGATGAATTGAAATATTCCGCTTTATCGCTTATGTGTATAAAAATGACACAAATATATATTAATTTTTTTGTTTCTTGACCCTTTATTTGTAAAAACTAAAATCTACAATCCTATTTTAACCATTACACTGTTTTGTCACTTTCGTTCAAATTAAGAATTTAGCTCAAAAGAAAGAGACAAAACAGTTTGATTTTTAAAAGAAATAAGTTCAAGAGTTCGATTTAAATGTTTCAAAACTATTTTGTAGCAAAATAATATTAACTGCATGAAATTATATAGTTAATAGATATTTTTTTTATTTTGAGTGATGCCATATGTGTGGACCATAGTTCAAATTTATATCTAGCATTAGCCATTTATAGTGTATCATTCCCATTTGCATTTATATTCCCAAAGAGGGTTGACGTCAGGCAGGTGGCTGGTCGTAAAATTAAAAACCAAATCTTTTTGTAATATGGATAAAATCATATTACGCCGACCCCAAATGATTGGGATAAGGGTAGGAAGATGATGATTAGCCATTTATAGTGTATATATTACACCTATGTTCGTATGTGTATGTTCGTTACACTATCAAAATGTATAACGATCTTCCAATCCGTAATCGAGTGTTATGACCAGGACTCAACTAATAAGCCTTTGTTTTTAAGACCCGTCAAATGTAAAAACAATTAATGCGTAACTAGTTCATGATTGATCCCACTCATGAATAGAACTGGATCTACTTGTAAAATTGAAATGTAATAAAAAATATATATACTTTAGAGGTGTTACCCCTCTTTTCTCACCTGTACGCCACACGCATAATCTTTGACGTAGCGGCGCCGTTCGCTAGACTCGCAACCAGCCGCACCGCCATTTTTGCTCCAGTCCAGTTATACCCGCGATCCGTAATGTACGTGTCAAGATGGCCGATACCGTAGTAACTATCGTGCTTAAAAATAATATGGACCCATTAAAAAGTCACTAGTTTTAATTGTAGAGTTCATAAAACAGTGTAATCTAAAAATACACCGGATTATAGTGTGGGAATACAACTAAGTTGTCAAAGAAAAAGTGTTTTCAACGTAGAATAAAAGTTTTAGTTCTCGTTTTAGTGTTGGAAATTGTGTATATTAATTAATTTGTTCTTTTTCGCAACCAATTGGATTCTGTTTGGAGTTATTGGTCTGGTTTTTAGAGACACTGCAGTTGGAGGCAGTTTCAAGATTATATGAGGTATGTACATATGAATTTATATTAATTAAATTCATGTACAACTTTTCTAACGGTATCTGATATATTAGTGAACTTATATATAAGTAGAGATGACAGATTTCGATGATTAGATTTTAAAATCACAAGATTTATGAATAAGAAATGTTTAGAAAGAAGTTTAGCTGTTTTCCCTTCTACTTAGTACTTAGTATCTGTATAGTACCTAGGTGTCTACATCTATCTATAAAGTCTATTTACTAATGAGTCAATGGTTAAATTATTTTTTGTGAGAATTTGATCATCGGTTTACGATTTCGTAGGTAATTATTAATCTAGACTGATTTTTACCTCTTTCTTCTATTTATTTACCTACCTACACTAAACAGACCAAAACAAAAATTTATCTTTCAGCTTAATTGTTTTAGTAGGAATTGTTAGTAATGGGGGGGGGGGGGGATCTAAAGACCCTATTGCTAGCAATACATCTTATCAGGTCAACCTCCATGTGGTTGCCCTTGGAAAGTATGGTGGTTAATTCTTGTTGAATTCGTGGAATGGGACAATTGACCTGTTTTTATCCTCACCTAAGTATGATCTCTCACTGTAAATATTCCGATAGTGTGTCTTTATTCCATTTTCACCCATTAAAAGAAAAAAATATAAATCGGAATATTTAGAGCTTATAATTCTGAAATCTTCATACCATTAATTGGCTCGACCGGGAATCAAACCCTTAACCTCATTTCTACAAAGCAACGTGCTTACCATTGCGCACACACTACACCCATATTGAATGAGCTGAGCTTGTATGAAAATGCAACTACATAGTTAGATTTGAAAATTCTTCACTATAAAGTACTCGTATTTAAATCTTTTATAATACCAGTCTATTTCGATGTTTCGTACAGAGGCATATTATAAAATAGTAGTACAACACTATGAATATTTATTTATTTTATTGTGACGACGCTTTTAGTTGGTTGCACAGATTTTTTTACACGTTTCAACAATATAAGGGTAGTGTGGACTCTTAAATAATGCAATTATTACTGGTTCTATGACCTTTGTAGACGTAACGTGATAAACTTACAGCCCTTACCATTGAAGAAAAAAAAAGAAAAACTTACAGTCCAAGGAAAGAAGAAAATATTTTTTTTTATAAATTCTTGATACTTCAGGGCTGCCACTGTAGCAATAAAAACTTTCATTACTTATTTTGTATTGTTGAGGCGTAACAATAAAGAGAGTAGAATCAAATAATAATAATCATCGTTTTTGTTCACCATCATCATTGGATTAACCTATTTACAGCACAGTTAAGAAAACATCCATTGCAATTTAGGAAATTAACATAATGCTAAATGCAAATACATAGTAGCTACATACCTGATTTTAAGAAAGCACCTATGTCTAATCTACCTGTGTGATACTCAGTTAATAGGTATTTTTTCTTCTTCTTCTTTTCATTTAAGAGTTTCCTCTTGTCGGTGCAACTAATTCATTCATCTTCTTCCAGCCAGTTCTATCCCAGGCCATATCCATGACGTCCCTATACAACATGACACCTAGTGTTTCTTTTATCTGTCCCATGTAGTTATGCCTCGGTCTTCCTCTTCCTCTTTTGCCTTCTATTTTTCTCTCTACTATGCTCTTAAAAAATCGTCATGTCGTATAAGGTGGCCCAGCATTTTGCCTCTTCTATTCTCTATTATTTTAATTAATGTTCTTTCTCGTTCACTCTTTTCAGGGCTTTCTCATTCGTTAGTTTTTCTTGCCAAAATGTAATTAGTAAATATATGCAAGAGACTTTCAATTTTCTCAAATATTTTCAACTAGATTAATAAACTAACGGCTTAAAAATTTAAATATATGTTTACTGAGAGGCATAATAAAGCCTAAATCTATCTCTATCCCACGTACTATACGTGTACACCAAATTTCATAGTGATTGTTTAAGCCTTTAAGGTGCTATAAGGTAACAAACAAACAAATTCACTTGCATATTTATAATATTACTAAGGATTAACTTGTCTATGCTTTTGATAGTCTACGAGCTAAAACTTACCTCTCATTTCTCTCGTATATCTTTTCTTTGGTATTGGTATTAAGGTTTGTGTAGGTTGACTTCCGATTTCGTAATTTTTAGTTCACTGTATATCAGTTACTTTTTAATAGCATCATGTATCTATACCTTATTAAAATTTTATATACAGCCTTTATCTTTAATATAAATAAAGCAAAGACCACACAACCCTAACAAACATTTTAATTCTATTCGAATTTTAAAATATTTGGAATATTAAATTTATTTGTTTGTGCAAAATCAGCCAGTGTTTTATTTTTTCTTAAGTGTAAATGTTATATGCACAAAAATGTACTGAGAAATATATTAGGCATTTAAATTTAAAACAGTTCTGTCCGAACTTAAGTATTATGTAGATAGATAATACGGGTGAAGAATACTTTAAAAGATATTTTATAAGAATTAAGTACGAGCAATAATAGGTAGCTATTAGTGACACTACGAGATTTAGGCCACGGATATTCGAATAATTATGTAATCAAATATTAATCGATAGTATCTATAGCCAGTCATAGTTTGTTTCATTGAACAATACTATAGAGATGTGCCGAGTCGGATTTACACGAGTGACTCGAATAACCATTCGGTACCCGGGTATTCAAGTACTCAATATGCAGAAATTGTATATACTCGAATAAATGTTTTTATCTGTTATCTATAACTAAACAAATCTACTTACTAATTCACTTAATCACAAAGCAATTTTGGCAGTAGGAGCATGCATTATGCTCTGAATAATACCCACATCAAATTTATTAATATTAAATGTTTTAAAAAATGCTTCACTTTCCTTTCGGTTCCTATCCTATTCCTACCGGTTAATATACATAATTCGTATATACTCGAATACAAGATTCAGGAACTTGTGATATTACGAATACTAGTCTATCGTATGCTTTTGTTATTTTTTTGGTTTCGATATTTACTGTCCACTGTAGAACAAAAGCCTCCCCCTTGGGGCGTTTTGCCAGTAGTTGTTACGCTTGGCAGGCGGATTGGCAACTGCAGTAAGGCTTTGAAGATGTTTTAAGAGGGACACTGCTGCTCAACCCTCGCCCTTCCTTAGTCGCCTCTTACGACACCCAAGGAAAAGGAAGGGGTGTCTTTTTCTATGCTGGGATCATACGGCAAAATTATATCTTTAAATACCAAAAGTAAAATTATCACATAAAACATTTATTTATCTTACTTAATTAAATAAGTTTTAATTGAAAAAGTTAAGAAAAAATCAATTGACAGAATATTCGAGTACACGTACGAGTTTGAGAACTCGTGTTAGGATTCGATTATTCTTTTACCGATTACCAAAATAGTCGAATGCCTAAAAAGGCCCATTCGGCACGTCACTACAATACTATCGATTATAAATGAACCTATTATACTTTTTTCGAACTATGTATAAATCGATATAATCGTAACCTTCAATAACGTTACATCGAATAATGGATTATTGTGACGATTATAATGAATTTTTTATTTATTCATGCTTTATAGCTACTCACAAAAAAAATATTTTCTTTCAGATTAAAAAAAAGAATGTTCTAAATCGATTTATAATTAACGGGTTTACGAGGTTTTATAATGGATGAAAATGGAATGGTAACCCCACCCGCGCTATCGGTATACGCTGGCGGGGCACCAGTGAAGGATGATAGATGATTATAAAGCAGGTTAGTTAGCGCATCATGACGAATTGAAGACTTTGTACAAAAGTGGATTGCTTGGGTACCTCTGTCCCATTCGTGTTTCTACCGTGAAGCAGTTGTGTTTGCATGGCTGTGTTTCGGTTTGAAGGGTGGGATATGGCGTGAATTTACAAGGTACAGAGGAATAACACATGAGTCCTCAGGAATGGCAACGCATGGGAGGTATCATGGGCGAAACAGTATGTGTGTGTACTGTTATGTCCATGGTACTGCTCATGTCTATAGGCTACGGCTACCACTTTCCATCAGGTGGGCCGTCAGCTTGTTTGCCATTCTAAGCCGTATAGAAAAAAAAAATTATCACGATGGTTTCCAGGGGGAACCGCGTGAAGGTCGACCTGATAGGGTATATTGCTGGCAATGGGGCAGATAGATTCCATTGCTAGCAATCCCTTTCCCTTCGGATTTATTAAAAACAAAACAATACAACCCAATTGAAAACTTCTTTAAGGACGAAGTCGGTTGAAAAACATTGCAAAGGCTCCGCCTTTCGGATCGTTAGTTAGTTATAAAATTAATTAGCCCGCCAAAAACGAGGAAACGAAATTTAAGTAATGATAATAATAAAATAATGTTTATTTAAAACAGTAAATTATGGAATTGCTTAACTATGACCCCCATATGGGTCGAGCCTGTATCTTAAGAACCTTTTAAATTATTTACACTTTTTCTATACTTTTACTTGTGACAGTGACTGGATAGTTATAATGTATATATATATATATATATATATATATATATATATATATATATATATATATATATATATATATATATATATAAATATATATATATATATTTGTGTGTGTGTGTGCGTGTTCGTGTTCGTGAGCGTGTGTGTGTGTGCGTGTGTGTGTGCGTGTGCGTGTGCGTGTGCGTGTGCGTGTGCGTGATATGAAACTGTAGTATGCTTGCATTTCGATAAATATTTCAGACAACAATTCTTCGTTAATTTTATAAAACATATTAAGGAAGATATTCGTGCAATTCGTATTCAAATTACCTTATTTCAATTTCCCCCTTCAATCCAATAGCATTGGCTTTAACTGTCCACTGTCAAATATAAGCCTCCCTCCTAGGGTGTTTTGCCAGTAGTTGTCACGCTTGGCAAAGCAGATTGGCAACCACAGTTAGGCTTTAGAGATGCTTTAAGAATGACGCTGCTGCCCATCCCTCGTCCTTCCTTAGTTGCCTCTTACGACACCCATTGGAGAGGAATGGATAGCCGGGAC